ATTCGAACGTTGTCTTTTGTTTGCTTTAGGGGCGTTCGAACGTTATCTGACGTTCAAACGTGTCTTCTATTTTTGCTTTATTGACGTTCGAATGCCAAATGGGATTTGACCATATCACTCAAGTGGTTTGTGGTCCTCTAAGGAAACCCACTTCCATACTTCATGCACGACTTGGCATTTTTGCACTCATTACCTAGGTGTTCTAGTGGACGTTCGAACATGAGTTGGCGTTCGAACATGATACTCAAGTGCACTTCCTTCTATGCTGCAACACGCCATGTCTTTACAGTCTGGTCTTGTCATTGTTCCAGTGGACGTTCGAACGTTCTTACTTTGTTCCAAGCTTTTTCATTTTTTTTCCTAATGTGTTGGTGTTACATTCAAGTGTGATTTTTATTGTTCTTGAACCCTTTTTCCACTTTAGAACCTGAAATGTCATCATTTAAACTCCATCAAAATATAATTAGTCCAAAAAGGCATAATAATATGCTACATTTAAGTACCAATCAATAGGTTTCTAAGTAGGGATTGGAATAAGGCTTCTTAAAATTTGAAATGGCATTGGTTTGTTCTGTCAAGACCTCTTTAAATGCTAGAATGGTAGGACATTCCCCCATGGGATTTCCTGACAATGCATAGATTCCACATAACTGATCTGTGGGTGACACAATAGATACTTCCTTGACTTTTTTCATCTTTAGAGCTTCAAGCTTTCGAGACAAAGTAGTCATTCTGGCTCTTAGGTCATCATCTTCCTTTATCACGTATTTCCTCCTTAGGAAGAGGATGACTTGGTTTCAACAATATTCGGTGAGGCCAAGTCCCACATTTGGGAATTCTCGAAAATGGTATCAAAAAACTCGAATGCCTCATCAGGACTCTTATCCATGAATTCTCCTGACCTGTCATTTCAACAAGCTGACGCATTGTGGATGGGAAGGCATCATAAAAGAAACCAACTAAAGTCTAACTCTCAAATGCATTATGTGGGCAAGCTTGGAGAAGATCTTTGAATCTCTCCCAACATTCATAAAAAAATTCTCTTTTTTTCACAGAAAAATTTATGATTTGATGTCTCAATGCATTTGTGCGGTGCATAGGAAATTTTTTTTAAAAAAATTTGGTTTGTAAAACTTGCCAATTTGGAATGGATTGAGGTTTTAAAGAATTTAGCCACTGTTTAGCCATATCCTTTAAAGAGAAAGAAAAAAGTTTCAACCGTGCCATTTTAAAATTATCTTGCAATGCACTACATACTTCCTCAAAATCCTTCATATGCAAATAGGGGTTTTAAGACTCAAGACCATGAAATTGCGATAAAAGCTATATTTTCCCTACTTTGATGTTAAAATTTGGAGTATTTGTGGGAAAAGCAAAACGTGAAGGGCAGCTAGTCTTGTGGAATGCAAATATTCTCTAAAAAGTCTAACATTCTGAACTACCTCTTGTTCCCTTTGATTATTATTAGCCATGCTTAACTCAAAAGAGTCCGAAGATACTTGTGATGACAAAGATGGAGGGCTAGATTGATTTACAGACCCTACAGATGACTTAACATATATAAATAATCAAAATAAAACAAACAATATACATATAATACAAACTAGACAACTTCTCTGTTCATTTTTATCACTGTGACTCCCTGGTAACGGCTACAAAAAGCTTGATCTAACCTGAATTAAATCATACACCCAAGCATAAATGGTCAAATTTTAATATTTCTCTGTTAAGTCCAAGGTTGAACCCACAGAGAGCTAACTTTTGGTACTCAAAATAGAAAATAGTGAAATTGTCGTGTGTGTAGTGTGCAATGGAATAACTTGTGGTTTGAGCTTAGAATTATCAAATAAAAACTTAACTAAAACTTTGAATAACAATGATAAAAGGTACTCTTCAGTTTAGGGATCCAACATGCATTATATTGTTTATTTATGAAAATGCCACCTTACAACAATTAACTTCTATTTTACTGGAAAGTTAATCGGTAGGTGTGATGTATAACTGAACCATATCACAACAATTGGTTAGGTTAGCTAGAAGGTCTATGTATCATGCAGTAACCAAATAATCCTAGTAAACTTGAAGGTAAACCATTCAAAATGTTTACTCTAGCTATTCAATCGATAGGTTGATGATTCAATGACAACAGAGTTCCGGTTTATGCATTGAATCAAAAGTATTGGTTATGGTGAGATTTAACCCGTCTATAAACAATCTTCTGACTGTTACATAAAACCTAACTACTTGCATCACTGTATCATGCATGAAGTACGCATGTACGTATTATAGATAGAATAGTATATAGCATTAGGCTAACCATGATCATATTATAATAATAACCATATATCAATTAAGGGAGGTATAAACATTAATGCATAAATAAAACATCAGCATTTTCATAACTTAAATAGTATTACATGTGCATTCACCCTTTACCAAATAATGTAAATAGACTACTCCTGCCTCATTGCTTTAGACGAGCAAAAGGAGTGAAACGACCCCATTACAATCGAAAACAAAATACAACAAAGTCCTTTCTTGAGGAAAAGTAGAAACACTGCCACTCTTATTGCTGGCTGAGAGAGGTTCAACCCTCCAAGTAAAAAGGATAAACAAAAATGTAGAAGTAGAGAAAATTCTGGCTGAGAAATGATTAGGGCAGGGCTTCACTCCTTTTTTGACTAAAACTCTTCTTGAAGTCTCCCTGTCTCTTTTTCTTTCCTTTCGTTCTCTCCTCCCTTGAACTAAATTGAACTCTAGTGAATCCCTTGGAAAATAGTTGAAGCATGCCATTTATAGGCACCGAAAAAGGGGTAAGGCGATAAACACCCAAGCTGACCAATAGGAGGTTTTTGTTGCCAAAATAGACCAATGGGAGAAGAGAGAGAAGTGAGGTAGTTTAAGCACCATCCGGACGGTGGGGATTCTTTGGATTTCATGCTTCGCAGCCACCCTTGTTTGACTCTTTGCTTCTTAATTACACTTGCCTCCCTTGGTCAATTCAGCCTCTGCACTTTAATCCTCTCAAAATTTCGTATTTATGCTTGAAACCCTACAAAATATACAAATTACATATTAACCCAAATACTTTATAAAATAATCACTTTAACCTAATTTATGCACATAATTAATCTTAAACCCTAATTCATTTACGCAATATTTAGGGTTAATCATGTGCATAAAACTCCCTAACCATATCTATATTTGCAAGGATAGGTGCTGCAAATAGGTCACACCACCCTTTGGACTTGAAGCTCGAAGGGATAGTGGTATGGCTTACTCGACTAGCACAAGTCTGGATGAGAATTGTCTCCTATATAGATCTCAATATTGTGGAGTCTAGAATTAACCACTAACTCTAGCTCCTTGGACCCTAGCTCTATTCTCAGCACTTGAATGCATTTTCGCAAAATAATCGATGAAAATGTATAAATGAATATGATAAACTAGGATATAAACTAAACTTACACTTAATCTCACTCAATATGAAGTTTTAGTACTTAGAAATGCAATGGGTAGGCTAGAAAGTAAGTGTGTTTAAGCTTGGAAGTGGAAGAAATGAGAAATGCCCGCTAAAATCTGACTTTAAAAGCTCGCTGGAGCGACCCCCGATACAAACTACTCAAGCGAGGTCATGGGCCATTCAAGCGATTTCTGAAATAGAGCCCTTCTACTTTCTATAGTCCAATCCACTTCAACCCTTCTCCAATGAGTCCTTACTTGCATGCATGATGTATATAGTTTAAATGCAAATCAATGCACATGTATGAATGAAGTTTGACCAAAATAATGCACTTTTCAATTCTAAAACATTAAATGCTCAAATTCATAATTATGAAAATTACATAAGTTCACATTTTCATTGATGCATCAAAAAGTTTATCATCTCAATACATTACTCTACAACATGTTGAAGGATATGAAAATCAATTTCATGCATCCTAGGGCAATGTTTCCTCACTTGGTTTAATTTCACTCACAAGTGTTCAAATTTTATTCAACTTAGACTAATTCAAGTGCATCGTGTGTGAAACCAACCTCCAACACAAAAAGGATTCTACTTAGTTCAAATCAATAGTAAGCTCAAAATGAAATCATAATGCATTGTCTAAGTGAATACATGGCCGGTTAGTGAGTGTCCTAATAATCTTATTTTTGACAACTCCCCTTTTCTTTTATCCCTTCTACTCTATGACTTCAATTAAAATGATTGTGAATTCTTTACTTTTAATATATGCTTCTAATCAAGATTAGCATGAGCTCAGTGAACTTTACAAATGAGCAATTTTCATTCAAGCATAACTACTCTCACAATTCAAGTGCAATTGTTTTTAGCCATTTATTTATGTCTCAATTTTTTAGATTTGGCCACATTGTGTTCACCTATTACTAAAACTTAGAGTTTGTTAAGATCATTAATAATTTAAACTAATCAAACTCCTAAGTGTGAAGATGAATGACATGCGTGTACTTGGTTATGAATTTTTCAAAGACAAACACATCCAAGCTTGCTAGGGTGAAAGAGACTTTGGCTAAAGAATTATGCAACAAAATTTATGCCACTAAGATCTCTATCCTCTAATATGACTCATCGTAATGCATATTTTGACTTTGATTTAAGGATGAATTCATTACAATGCAAACCAAATTGTGAACTACCATGATCATAAACAAAGAAAAACTAACAAAAGAAAATATTTTTTGGCCTTTTCTTTTCTATTATTTTGAATTTTCAAAATAAACATATACAAAAAAATATGCATGAAGATGCATTAAACAAGGAAAAACAAATAAAGCAAACGTAAATCCTACAAGTAAATGTCAAAATTGACATCAAAATTCTTTTTGGACCTTTTCTATTTCTTTTGTTTTTGGTTTCATTTTTCTACTTTTTTTTTGTATTTTCATATAGAAAATAAATAAAAATATGTACGAAGCATGACCCTAGAATGCTCAATGAAATGCATTAAAGATCACCTAGGTCCATACACTCACCTCTCCTACTTCTTAGGAGTCGTGACCTTGCTAGAAGCACTCGGGGGCTCTAATTTGATTGAGATGATGAGTTTCTCAAAATCCTCCCTAGTCACCCATACTTGTTTTTCCTTTCTAAAGCTTGGGTTAGGTTGGGGAATGGATGGAGGACTAACTCTCTCCTCCCAAAAAAGTATGTAGATCAATTTTGATCTTGGGGGTAAAAGGAGCTTTGGGCACTCAACCATGCGGTCCATGTGAAGAAGATGCATGATTATGCTTGGACTCACTTGTCCTATCTAAAATCTTAGAGAAATTTAAGACTTCAAGATTTAAGTCTTTGGATCGTTTAGCAAGATGCATTAGATTCTTATTTAAGCATCCTATTTTTCATGCAATATCGACTATGATAACCATGTTTTCCACAATTATAACACAAATTATGAATGGTTTGGGTTTCAAAAATCACATTCTTCTTTGAGTTCCTACCCTTACCAATTCTGATGGGTTTGTGTTACCCTTCACAAGCATTGTTTTGGAAGAAATGTTGGTGTATTCACTTGTATAGCCTAAATTGCGCTTATCACCCACACTTTTTTCCCATGGATAACATCCTATGAAACTTTTCATTGCTTTGAGGGATTCTTTTTGAGAGTTCATTTGATTCATGAAGATCTTTATCGAGTTTGGCACAATTTGACTCAAGATTCTTCTTGGACTTAACAATCTCATGACACTCTCTCTTAAGGAAGCTCACTTGATCAAGAAGAGCTTTGGATTTAACCAAGTCCACATGAAGTGCTTTTCTATCTTCTTCACTTGAATTCACTTTCTCATTCAATGCAAGAACATTCTTTTGTTGTTTGAGGAATTCTACAAACAATTGATCATACACATCTTGAATATCCTCAAAACAATCTTCATCCTTCACACATGTGGGGATTTCTTCTTCCAAGTCCTCTACTATCATGATAGGTGTGAGATCCAATCATGCATTGCACACATATTAACATAATTTTGTGGGCTAAATTATAATTTTGTGAAAGTATTAGTGGGCCAATTTTGAAATCATTTAAAAACTTGGGGGAGGCAAAGGTAATTAACCCATTACCTTTACATGTGCAGGCTTAAAAAAAAAAAAAAAAAAAAGGTGTGTCATGTGCGTATGAGTGTGAGCCGTGTGTATGTGTGTGTGTGTGTTTAAAGGTGTAAAGTGTGTGTGTGTGTGTTAAGTAAATTAAAGAGGGGTGTGTGTGTGTTTAAGATAAAATAAAGTTCGTGTGTATGTGTACTGAAACCTTGAGGGTGAGCAAGAGTAAGAGAAAGAAAAAAACAATGTGTGTGTTCTTGATACCATGAGCAAGGAGGGAGAGAAGGAGAGTGAAATCAAGTCTTTGGTGGGTATTCTTAGTCCAAACCAAGAGAGGAAAAAAGAAGGTATATGGATTTAAGTTTTGAGTTGTGATTAATTTTAGTATGCACGTATTTGTGTATGTGTGGGCTATTTTAGCATGTTTTAATTAGTAGGTTGTTTTAATTTAAATATATGAGCTGTCTTATTTTATTTTAATGGGTTGTTTTAATTCAAATTTTATGGGCTGATTTAGTTAATGTCAAATCAGATTTTGTATGGGTGTAACTAAATATATTTAGAATAATTAACGAGTTGTTAAAAATAGGTATTAAATGGGTACTTAACGGAGTTTACAAAAAGTGTGGATATGACCATCCGAGATATTCGGGAAACATTTAGTGGGCTAGGTTGAAAATGAAAATTATGAAAATAAAATGGGTGATTTAAAAGCTCAATTAGGGGCTATTTTTCATTGATTAAATTTTTATGTTAATTTAAGTGTGATGGTTTTAAATACAAAGTACGATAGAAGTGGGAAACGTGCCGGTAACGCCGAAACTCTGATTTCTAAATGTCATTATCACATGTGTGAATTTTAATCCAAATGATCTAAAATTTTGCATACAGCGTTTCTAAATGATGCTTGATGTGATAATATGACTTTCGAATGCAAATGAGTACAATATTCAGTGTGAAATGTATGAAATGTTGGAAGTGTAGTTTTTAGGATTCGGGGTCGAAATGTGTGAAAATGGGCCCCCGGTCAATGTGTTGGACCTACTTAATCCTAATTGTGATTAATGTGAGTGATTTTGGGAATTTGGGGAGGAAATATGATCCCTAGAACAAAAGTGCTAAAATGTGAGTAGATAGTGCAGTTACCGGGGCACTTTGAGGTGTATCATTTGCATGCAATAATGCAGGATTAACTATTAAATGTAATAAATATATTGATATTGTAATTACAAATGTATTAGGTGGAACGAGTGAGACATTCGATATTAGAACAAATATGGTGACACCGAAATGATCCACCAATAAGATTGAAGGGCCATAAATTTGTACATCTGAGGTGGGTGTATATCTTTATCTTTTTGGAAATGCTATTATAAGATGATAGTAAATGATAGAATTTAATAGCAATTCTCTAAGATTATGTGTTATGTGCTTATGTGATTAGATGATGCTTTGTACTGTGTATTGTAAAATGTGGCGCATTATTTGAAACAGGGGCTTCGATGCCTAAGCACTAGGCGTACAGTGATGTGCTAGCACTGTGGTGTTTCCAGGAGGTTCAGGAGACACGAATTCATGTGGGATCGATTACCTGATGAGGGGTAGTATGAATGTGATGTGACTTGTGAATTCCCTAAAATTGGATTGATGATGTTGTTTGATACATGTATCTATGTAGTATCTACCTACTTCAATGTATTACTATCTTTTTTATTTCATATACAACATGTATACTCACTGAGGGCATGGTTTAGCTCACACCCCTACAGCTTCTTCTATTCAGGTACTATAAAGGAGGATACAGACTAGTCCACTATCCAGTTGATTGAGTCTTATGCAACGTTAGTGTAATATCACTCAGGTTGAGTGTCAGTATGAATAATTTATGGGTTGTGTAATATATTTATGAGAGATATTTATGGCAGATTAATAGTATATATTTGTAAATAGACTCAACAAGGATACTTTGTGATGTATGCTATGTGGGTGTGGGTTTTTGTAGATATTTATAAACTGGAAAAGAAATGATTGATAAAGGTGTTTTATATATGGTACAAGTTATGAGACAAAGTTTACCATCATGCTTAATATCTAAGGTGATGAGTGGTGTTGTTACACCTGTGGGATTATATCATATTTTATTAGTCCATCTTATAATAATTGTAAATAGGTGTATTAAAAACCTAGTCGCATCTCATCCTTGAGAGACCAAGATGGGGCGTGACATTTTAGTTGGTATTAGAGCTAGAGTTTATAATTCAGTAGTCAAGTTGAGTCTAGCGTGACAGTGGACTTAGGAATTGGTCTGTTTAGGTGGGGTGTTAGAGGTCCATGTGAGTGTGTGGAATATATATTGCATGCTTTCATGACCCATATGCAATACTCACATTTGTTACAGTGATACATGGAGAGAGAAGGGTCATCTGCTAGGGCTGGAGATAGGGAAAAATGACCCAAGGTGGAGGAGGAACCAGGTGATCAGGAAGCTAGGCAACTATGGGAAGCAACAGTTAAGTACTTTGAGCAACATACAACGCGAATAGAAATAGTAAAGCCCAAGGGGATGTTGTACAAACAATTTAAAAAACTTGATCCACCAAATATTTATGGGAATTGCAGGTCCATTAGAGGTAGAAAATTGGTTTACGATGCATCAAAAAGATATTAAGGGTAATGGGACTTGGCGAGGAGGATAAATTATTGTTGGTCACTTTTATGTTAGTAGAGGAGGCCCAGTATTGGTGGGAGGCTATGGAGAGAGCATTGTTGCCAGTGTGCACTGAAGGGGAGGCTAGTTCAATTCCCAGAATTCCCACATGACGACAGTTTATAGATGCCTTTGACAAGAAGTATTTTCCCTCGAGTTATCGATATCAGAAACAAAATGAATTTTTACATCTACAGCATGAGAATTAGTCAATGCTGGAGTACGAGAGTAAATTTAGTACTTTGTCTAGATTTATGACTTTTGTTGTTGCAAATGAGGGGAAAAGATGCAGAAGACTCCAGATGGGGCTAAATTACAATATTAGATCCCGTGTTTCAATGCTGGAATTAACAACATTTTCAAACTTGTACAACAAAGCCCTAATTATGGAAACTGATCTGAAAGAGATGGAAAATGCAAGTGAACAAGCAAAAAGGGGAAGATATGAGCCAAGTGAACAAGGTTCCAAGGGAAGTTTCTTTAGCAAAGCCTAGAAAGGAATTTTTCTTAAGGGTTCCAGTAAGAAAAAATCAGGAGTCTCATTCCAAAGTCGAGGACAGGGAATGAGTGGACCATCTTTATTTACACCGGGTCGAGAGATGGGACAGTCTCAGGGGAGTACAGTTACTTGTTACCGTTGTAGGCAGATTGGGCACATTATACGCAACTGTCCTATGGGAGGACCAGGATCTGCTATGTCACGGTGTTGCTTTTTATGTGGTCAAAAGGGACACATGTAGAGAGATTATTCACAATATTTTACCCCAAAGTTCATCGATAGGCAGTGCACCTACGGTGTCTCGAGGAACAGCGAGTGGTAGAGAGTGAAGACGAGGAGGCAGTACTGGAGGTAGCGGTGTTGGTGGCAGTGAACTGAGTGGACCTGAGGCTGGAGGTCGTATTTTTGTACTTACCCAGAAGGATGCTCGGGCGACCCCTGATGTGGTCACAGGTATGATGTCTATTTTTGGTTAGCAAGCACGAGTACTTATAGATTCAAGTGCCACACATTCATTTATATCACTGTCATTCTCCATTCATGTTAATAGATCACCTACTCCATTAGACTGTGGATTGCCTTTAGCTACTCCCACAGGTGATTGTGTGACGACCAAGGTAGTATATAGGGAGTGCCTAGTTTAGGTGGGTAATAGAGAATTACTTGCGGATCTGCTACCTCTTGACTTCCAGGATTTTGATGTAATTTTAGGAATGGATTGCTTGTCTATATATCATGCTACTATTGACTGTTTTCGTAAAGAAGTATTATTTAGAATTTCGTATGTTCCTTTGTTTCGGTTCTTTAGAGAGCGAAGTCTTGAGCCGAGGAATTTAATATCGGCAATTAAAGCCAGGAAATTACTTAGAAAAGCATGCCATGGGTACTTGGCCTATGTGAAAGATACTCAGAGAGGTACTTCTGAATTGAAGAATATTCCTGTAGTTTGTGAATTTGCTAATGTGTTTTCTAAAGAGTTACTAGGGTTACCAGTGGAACGGGAGGTGAAATTTACCATTAAGCTTGTGCTAGGAACTAGTCCCATATCTATTACTCCATATAGGCTAGCTCTAGCTGAATTGAAGGAACTTAAAGTCCAGTTGTAGGATTTGTTAGATCAGGGATTTATACGGCCTAGTGTATCTTCTTGGGGTGCACCAATATTATTTGTAAAGAAGAAGGATGGCAATATGAGGTTATGTTTTGATTATAGACAGCTGAATAGAGTGACCACTCGGAATAAGTATCCATTGTCGCGTATTGATGATTTGTTGGACCAATTACAAGGTGCCCGGGTTTTTTCAAAGATTGATTTTCATTCAGGATATCATCAATTGAAAGTAAGGGATAATGATATATCGAAGACTACTTTTCGGACCAGGTATGGACATTATGAGTTTCTAGTGATGCCTTTTGGTGTGACAAATGCTCCTGCTGTATTTATGGATATGATGAACCGAATATTCCAGTCATATCTTGATTCATTTGTGATAGTGTTCATTGATGATATATTGATATACTCCCAAAGTGAAGAGGAGCATATGCAATATTTGAGGGTGGTACTAGAGACTTTGAGGGATAGACGATTATTTGCCAAATTCAGCAAATGTGAATTTTGGTTGGACAGGGTTGTGTTTTTGGGGCATGTGGTTTCTGGTGATGGTGTATATGTTG